GAAGAGCGGCCGCGGGGCCGTGTGGGGCAGCGTCATCTACCCGTCCACGAAGAGGGCCGTCACCAGCACCACGCAGGTGGCCCCTCCCCACGCCCCAGTTGTCGGGGGTCTCACCCAGCTGGCCTTTGCCATCCAGCTTTCCAATCTCTCCTCCCCAGCCAACCCCAGCTCTGTGGCCACCTGGAAGGGCGTCCTCTAGCTGGGCTGGCGGGATGTCCGTGGCCTCCAGGCCCCTCTAGGCTGTTCCTTTTCCGAACTGCAGTGTCCTCCATCCTCCTGGGGTGAAGATCCAGCCTTCCTTCAGGGGTCTTTCCAGGGGCCTGCTCCCCCAAGGAGCCCTCCTGCAGGCCAGGCAGCAAAACCCTGCAACCTGGCCCCCCTGGAGGGGGGACCCAGTGGGCAGCCCAGCCATCGGGAAGTGTGGCCGGGGCTTCTCCCTGAGGCCTTACACCTGACCGGCAGGCCAGGAAAGGGCCAGCCAGCACCCCTCACCTCATCCTTCCCTCCCCAGCCTGCAGTGGAGCTGCCCCCCTTGCCGGGGTCCGACCTCTTCGTGGAAGGGGTGAGTGTGGGGAAAGCCAAGAAGCAGATGCCGCCCATCTCCAGCTTTGACTCTGCATCTCCACTCTTGGATATTCATCCACTAAGAGAGAGGTGCCCCTCGGCCGTGCCAGACCTGGCTCTGGGACCACCACGCATGGCTCTCCAGCAAGACTTGAAACTGAAAGACGAAAAGGTAGTTCCTTGCCCCTTGCCTGTGCCCTAAAAGAGGCTGGCGGAGAGGAGTGCTAAAGTAAAGTGCGGCCACAGGGAGTTTGGTGGGAAGATAGAGCCCCCCACCCATACCCTTCAGCACCTAGACAATAAGGCCCTGAGCTCTGCTCTTGCCAGGGCTGAATCAGACAAACACTTGGATCCAAACTTATTAAATGTGCACCCACTGCGTCCCTTCTTCCGAGCGTGAAGACAGTGGAGAGCGCTCGGTTTCAGCTGCCCAGACCGTCAGGTAACAGCGCCGTGCTTGTGTCCGTCTGAGCCCTGGGTCTGCTTGGGGCTACCTGCTCTGCGTCCTCCAGGGCAGGCCGGGGCCTCTGGTCCAGGCACCGGCCTGAGCTCAGAGCAGGGTTCAGGGCACCCTGGCCCCATCCTGGTCCCGGCCAGTTGTCGGGTTAGTGGGGGTCCTGCAGCAGCCGTTCCGGGGCCTGCTGAGCACCGGGTCCCCTGCACAGAACCAGGTGGGTAACAGCCTTCGTCTGTCTCCCCTGTGGGGTGTGGCGCCAATGGGGCGTTGAGTTTGAGGTTTGCATAGGTGCCAAGTGCCGCAGACAGGAGGGGGCCGGCAATCACTGGGCCCTTGCGCTGTTTTCTGAAGCTTCTGATGGAGCGGGCCACACGTGGCCCGGGAGCCTGGCCTGGTCTTGGCCTCCGAGCACAGGTAGGCAGGTATGGAGCAGCCCCGCTGGCACGGTCTGGCACCCAGCAGTTGCCAAGAGAGTGACACCAGCCAGGGCCACGCCCCCATCTGCTGTGCCCCAGGTGCACCTGTCTCCCTGAACTCACCAGAACACCTGCACCTGCTGTGCCCACCACCCCCCTGGGTTCTCAGTGTGTCTGTCTGTCTGTCTGTCTGTCTTTCTCCCTGGCACTAACAGCCTCTTTGCCTGTCTGTCTGTCTTCATGGATTGTAAGCTCTCAGGGGCCGGGCTCTTGGTGCACCCCTGCACCTGGGGCCATGCCTGGCACATAGCAGATGCTCAGTACATGCCTGTTGCATCAGCACGTGTGTGGACCGCCCCCCAGAGTAGCCAGCTCCGGGCACGATGAGCGTGTGCTTTCAGGGCCGGCAGGGCCCTTGGAGGCCACCTCCAGTCCGGCCCACCATCCTCACCCCATGTCCAATCTGGCACCAAGGTCTGTCAGCCCTACTGCTTAGCAACTTGCCTCTCCATGGGGGCGATTTCCAGGTTCTTTCCGTAACGCACTGTGCAGCTTTCTCCAGGCGTCTTCCGAGGAGTGAGTGTCCACAGGGCACCCACAGCTTCTACCTAAGTAGGTGCATGAGCTACTGTAACAAAGCACTGCAAACTTGGTGGCTTGAACCACAGACATTCTTTTCTGAAGGCCAGAAGTCCAAAACCAAGGTGTTGGCAGGGCCGAGCTCTCAGAGCCTGTAGGGAAGAAACTTCATGTCTCTTCCAGCTTCTGGCAGCCTCTGGCAGTCCTCGGTGTTCCTTGGCTTACAGACGAGTTACTCCAATCTCTGCCCTGCTTCACACGGTGTTCCTTCTGTGTGTCACTGTGTCCATATTTCCCTCTTGAAAGGACACCAGTTGTTGGATCGGGTCCCACCCTCCTCTAGTATGACCTCACCTTACCTTGATTACATCTGTAAATAAGGTCACATTCACAGATTCCAAGTGGACGTGAACTTGGCGGTGGCGGGGGGGCGGGTATTAAAGCTGGTGCACTGGGCACTGCAAGCGTGGCCACAGGGACTGCACTTTGACCATGGTCACACCGTGGCCACACTGTGGCCATTGCTCCCATTGTGCCAATACTTGGTGTTGACAGGGCATCTTGTTTGCCTCTGGAGGGAGTGATGGCACTCGTTTGCATTTTCCTATTTACTAATAAAATGGCCTATATTCAGACATGCGTTGGCCAATTAGGGCTCCTGTCCTGAAAAGCACATCTTTTGTCTCACCGTCTTTAGAACTGCACATCTTTTTTGCTGATTTGAAGGGGTGACAGCCATCTGTTCTGGGTTCTCCTTTTTCAGTTGATTTGTGTGGCAAACACTGTGTCCCACTTTGTGATCTGTCTTTTCACACCTTTATGGTGTCTTTGGATGTAAAGCCACCTTAATTTTAATAAACTCCAACAGGTCAAGCTTTCCCTCGACAGTTGGTGATTTTTATGGCTTTGCGGCCTTACGCTGAGGTCGTGAAGCCCCCTTCTTCTAGGAGCATTGCTGTGGCTCATACATTCCAGCCTTGAACGTTCCTGGAGCTGACTTGCACGTGGTGTGAGGAGCCCAACGGCCCCTCCCCTGCTCACCTGCAGGCTGGCACTGTTGCATGTTGGCACCTCTGGACATTCTGTTCAGCTCCACCGTTTTGTTTGTCTTCCTTGGGCCAGTGCCACGAGGTCTTCATTACTACAGCTTTGTAGTGTGTCTTTATGCTAGTCAGACAAGTCCTATAAGCTTGTTTTCCTTCCTTGAAAATGACTCAGCTGTTCTTGACACCCCTACACCTCCATACAGGTTACAGAATTAGGTTGTCAAGATTCACCAACATAATTTTTTATTAAAATTAAAAATTTTTTATTGCTATTAAATTCATCAGTTTAGGGAGAACTGACTACATTATTGAGCCTTAGAATGTGTGAACACGGTATATCTCTCCATAAATAAATCCTTTAAGATCTTTCAATAAACTCCTAGAATTTTCTTTGTAATGGTCTTGCACTTTTTTGTTGGATTTAGACATATATTTTTTATTTTTTATTCTATTGTAAGTAGTATCAAATTAAAAAAAATTTTTCCTGCAAATTGTGGTTGGCTGATAGAAAGGGAATTGATTTCTATGAATGGATTATTTTTTTAATTAATTAATTAATTTTTAAAGTTTTGGCTGCGTTGGGTCTTCGTTGCTGTGCGCGGGCTTTCTCTAGTTGCGGCGAGCAGGGGCTACTCTTTGTTGCGGTGTGCGGGCTTCTCATTGTCGTGGCTTCTCTTGTTGCAGAGCACAGGCTTTAGGCGCGTGGGCTTCCGTAGTTGTGGCACACGGACTCAGTAGTTGTGGCTCGGGGCGCTCCAGAGCACAGGCTCAGTAGTTGTGGCGCACGGGCTTAGTTGCTCCACAGCACGTGGGATTTTCCCGGGCCAGGGCTCGAACCTGTGTCCCCTGCATTGGCAGGTGGATTCTTAACCACTGCGCCACCAGCGAAGCCCTATGAATGGATTCTTTAAAAATCCATCTGGCTATCATTTCCATCAATTCATTAATATATTTGAAGATTCTTCTGGCTTTTCACATACAGTTATATCAACTAATTTGTTTTCCTTTCCTTGCAATCATTATACCTTTCATATCTTTTTCTTACTTTTTTGACTGTCTAGGACCTTGTTTATTCATTCATTTTCCTCATCCCGTTGGATCTCAGGTGCATACATTCTGATTAATCATAATTCTTGGTTCATGACATAGTTTCACTGTTTGTCCTTGCATGGCCTACTTTTATTTGGATCGTTTTAGTAGTCTAACTAGAACTTGCACACAGGTTTTAATTTGATTTTTAATGTGGCTAAAGTTATCAACCTTTTTCTTTTAGTCAGTGCTATTTTGTCTTAAGAAATTTTTCTTTACCCTGAGATTTAAAAGATTGTTTACCTACATTTACTACTAAGAGTTTTACATTTTGGGGCTTCCTTGGTGGCACAATAGTTAAGAATCCACCTGCCAATGCAGGGGACATGGGTTCGAGCCCTGGTCCAGGAAGATCCCACATGGCCCCGCGCGCCACAGCGACTGAGCCTGCGCTCTAGAGCCTGCGAGCCCCAACTACTGAGTCCACGTGCCACAACTACTGAAGCCCGCACGCCTAGAGCCCCTGCTCTGCAACAAGAGAAGCTACCACAATGAGAAGCCCAAGCACCGCAACAAAGTGTAGCCCCCGCTCGCCGCAACTAGAGAAAGCCCGCGTGCAGCAACGAAGACCCAACGCAGCCAAAAATAAATAAATAAAATAAATTTATTTTTTAAAAAAAGAGTTTTAAATTTTGTTTTTGACATAAAAGTCCTAATCCATTTGGAGTTGACTTTTGTATATGGCGTGAGTTAGGAATCGAATTTTATTTTTGTTCATATAGAAAAATTTTTCAGTTATTTTTTGAAAAATTTATTTCTATCCCCCTGCGAACTGGTATCCCACCTGTGTGTATGTGTGGGTCTATTTCTGGAGTCTCTATTCTGTTCCACTGGTGAGTTTGCCCCCCCTGCACCGGTGCCACTCTGCCTACTGCATCTGGTAGGGCAAGTTGCCTCTCTCTGCTCATCCTCATAAGGGTCTTGGTCCTTCCTGACCTCATTCTTTTCTATATAAATGTCATAATTGTTTTATCAAGTTCAACAAAAAAAATCCTATTGATATTTTGGTTGGATTTGCATTGACTCCGTGGATCAATTTGGGGGAAATGGATAAATTAATGAAATCATATCTTTCTACCCATGAACATGACATATCTCTCCATTTACTTAGATCTACTTTAAATTTTAGAATTTTCCCATCAGAGATCATAGACATCTTTTATTAGATTTATTTTTCTTACTTGATACTCAGATACTACTGCACATGGTGTCATCTCTCTATATAAATTTTCGCATTGTTTGCTGCTGTCATATAGAATGAAACTGACTTCTATATATTAATTTTCTATCTGCCACATTTCTCAACTCTCCCATTATTCCTAAAAATGTGTATGTATCTTCTTTTGAGTTTCTATGTAAATAATTATATCCTGTGTAAATTGCTTTGTATCTTCCACTCCAACCTTCTTGCCCCTATGGTCTTGTCTTATTGTACTGGCCAGAACCTCCTACACAATGTTGGGCACCGTTGTTGAGTTCCTGATTTTAAAGAGAATGTTTCTAACACTTCTCATTTATAGTGATATTTTCTGTAGGTCTTAATAAAGCTATAAATATATACATATAAATGTATAGATACTCTAGCATGTTGGAGTAGTTACTTTCTAATCCTTACCGAGAATTTTTATTACAAATGTGTAGTGAATTTTCTCAACAATTTTTTTTGCATCTATGAGACTATCTCAAGTTTTTTCTTCTTTATACTATTAAAGTGATAAATAACATCAATAGACTTTTCTTTTTCTAAGAAGTTGCCTGTAGCACTTAACATCAATCAATTTTTGAATGTTAAACCAACCTTGTATTCCAGGAATGAACCTAAGTTGGTTTGATGTTGAGTTTGATATATGTCCGGATGTGGTTTCTTGCATGTAGTTAAAATTGGTTCTCAACCACAGTTTATTTACATACTACTGTGGATAGACATTTACATTGTTTCTAGTTCAGACTATTACAAATAGTGCTGTTGTGAGCACTCCTGAATTTGGTGAACATGTATACATCTTTCTGTAGGAATGGAGTTGCTGGGTCATGCATTCAGCTTTGGTAGACACGCCCAAGGAATTTCCCAGAGTGACTGTGCCAGTGTAAATTCCACCACAGTGTATGAGTCTTCCAGTGACTGCACACTCTTACCAACACTGGATATATTCTCTGTCCTTTTATTTTAGCCATTCTAGTAGATGTGCAGTAGGTTCACATGACAGTTTCAATTTGCATTTATCTGATGACTGAAGAAATTCAGCACCTTTTCATATCAACAGTCCACTTCAACATACTCTTGCAAGGTACCTTTTTTGTATTTGGGCACGTTTTTCTGTTCCCTATTCCTGTCAACCTGTAGGAGTTCCTTATATATTCTGGATACAAGTCCTTCGGTGGGTATATGTATTAAAGATAACTTCTCTCATTCTATGATTTGCCTTTTACTCTGAATAGTATCTTTTGGTGCACATACATTATTTATTTCAGTATATGCCAATATCAATTTCTCTTTTATGATTAGCATTTATGTTTTCTGTTTGTGAAATCTTTGCCTACCCCGGAGTCATAAAAATAGTCACTTCTGTTTTCTTCTTAAAGTTGTATGGTTTCACCTCTCACATTTAGACCTATGTTCCATCTGGAACTGTTTCCGGGTGTGGTGTGATGTAGGAGTTAAGGGGTACAATTTTTGAACAGACGTTCAGCTGATGCAGCGTCGTCCTCTGCGCTGCGTTGTACCATTGTCGCGAGACAGGCGACTAGGTATGTTTTTCTGGTTTTGGACTCTACACTGTCCCAATTTTCTATGTTCCTGTCTTTATTAAGTCAGGTTTTTGCAGCAGTAATGCTGCATAACAAAGACAACCCCTCCCCAACCTCAGAGGTACTTATTCATGAAGCCTCTGTTTCTCACACATCTTCAGGTCGGCTGTAGCAATGTTGGGTTCTACCAGGAAGGCTGAGCCAGGCTCCAGGCTGCAGGTTGGGCTGAGATCCACCTCACGTGTCTCCCCTTCTGGGGCCAGTGGTTCCCCAGGCATCATGTTCACGAGGCAGATGGTATCAGCATGAGAGGGCAAGTCAAAAGGGGGAGGCATCTGAAAGCTTCTACTCACATCACATCTGCCCAAACTCAAGTTGGTGGGTGACGAAGGATACTCCTCAGTGGGGTAGGAGGAGCGGAGTGAATATGTTCTGAACGATAATCAAATATACAACAGTCTAATCTCCGGGTCACTGGCATTCACTTACCTTCTGCAAACAAACTACGCTCACTGCCGCCCCCCCTCCGCCAAAAAAAGTCTCCGCAGTCATAGAACCAGACTCTGAGTCTGGGATCCTGTGATTCTCCATCATTCCTCTTCACCTGGATAACTGTGAACCAGAAAAACAAGTTGCCAAGTCTGGGATTTGCTTTCCCTTCCTTACGAGCTGTGAGCTTAGCTGTGGCTGTTGCGTGCAGGCTCGCAGAAGACACGCGACTCCTGGGTTGGAGACAAAGGACTTTATCGTTCTCATCTCAGGAAGCAGCGAGAGCCTCTGAACATCGGTGAAGCCATGTGGGGTGACGCACTGTGGCCCAGATGCCTGCTACACACGCTGAGTTTGCATCACAGATGAGGAACACTGAACCTCAGGCATCTACCACTTTTGTAGCAAGCAGTAAGCAAGCCTGCTCTTGTCCTGGAGGGAAATAGCACCTCATCCCCCAGGACTGCTCACTGCAGGCACGATGCTGAGAAAGGTAAATGGGTGATCAGGGTCTTGCATTCTTGGCACACCCCACAAGGTATGTAGGGTGCACAGGAGACCCAAGGAAGACCTTCTCTCCCAATGGTACATATCCATGCTGCATCATCTGAGCCTCCGGCCAGTTTTCACATGCCATTCTGACCTGACCAGGAGAGATGGGCGGGCACCAAATCCATTTGATTTGTCTCACATGCGTTTGTTTAAGACAACCGTCATCAGGTCCACCAGCGGCACAGACCTCAGCCACGTTCTCTGGGGCCCTGGACTCAGCACTGTAAGTCCCAGAGGCATCCTTACTGCCAAACTGCCAGAACTGGGTTTGCTTTCCCCTCCTTACAAGCTGTTGGCTGTGAGCTTAGCTGAGGCTGTTGCGTGGATGCTGCCAGAAGACACGCGACTCCTGGGTCAGAGATGAAGGGCTTCGTGAGCGCCAGCTGATCTGGGACGCACTGTGGCCCAGGTGGATGACGCATGCACAGCGGGCCCGTGTCACGGTGGGGGAGCAGTGAGCTTGGGGCACTTGCTGCCTTTTCAGGAAGCTCTTTGTCCTGGAGGGAGACATTACCTCACCCTGAGACGTGGCCCAAGTGAAGGGTGGTCAGGGCCTTGCATGGACGGAGCGCACCTCGAAGGGCACGTAGGAGGGCACGAGAGACCAAGGGCTGTCTCTCCCAACACGAGGTACCTGCGTGCACGTGAGCTCTTGCGCACGCACGCACAGACACGCGCACATGCACATGCGTGCACAGACGACACACGCACAGACACACACATGCACACGCGTGCACGGACACACGCACAGACACGTGCACATGCACACGCGTGCACGGACACGCACACACACGCGCACGTGTGCACACACGCACACGCGTGCACAGACACACTTGCGCGCGCACACAGACACACACGAACACGCGTGCACGGACACACACAGACACACATGCACACGTGTGCACGGACACACACAGACACATGTGCACGCGTGCACTGACACACACAGACACACAGATGTGCACGTGTGCACAGACACACGCACGTGCACACACATGCACACGCGTGCACAGATGCACGCGTGCACGGACACAGTGCACGCACGCACGCATGCACGCACAGACACACATGCACACGCGTGCACGGACACACGCACATGCGCACACATGCACGCACGCCACACGGACACAGCACAGGGTAGCTGGTCCACAGCACCCTCGATCCCCCCGGCAAACACTGTGCCCGCTACCCAGGGGGAAAGCTCTGTGCCATGACTATGCTCCTTAATCCATTTTCAGCAAGACTTGGCTCTGCCCCGAGAGGCCCTTTTCTCGTCGTCCTCCTCGGCCGTATACGAAGGAGAACGTGGGGGACACGTTCCCCTGGGAGGCTGACCGTTCCCTCCGTGGCCTGTGTGGCCTTAGGAAGCAGGGCTCTCAGGTCCTCACAGCACAAACGGGCGCTGCCTCTCTTGGCCCGGGCTGGCGGCCCTTCTGCTAACGTAACCCTTCTCCCCAAACGCCGTGTTTCCATCCCGCCAAGTCTGTGCATCAAAATCCACTCCCACGTTCGTCTTCAAGATAGGTCCTTCTCTCCACCAGGGCTGGGACTCTGGGACCAGACCCACAGCCTCCCCAGGAGCCTCCTGTCCAGCCGAGGGCAACTGTCAGCCCCTTCCGAGAGCCTGGCAGAGGGCAAGGCAGCTGCCGGCAGCCTGGTCAGAGGCTGAGCCCCTGGAGGCCTTTCTTCCTGTAAGCATCTTGATTTTGTCTGTTGCTGGATTGAGATGAGAACCTGGTCCACATCGAGGCTTTGCGGGCTCAGTGTTTCTCCACCTCCTCCTGGAGGGCGACCTTCCCACACTCAGGTCCTAATGTCCCCACGCCCGGCCAGTCACAGGGAGGGACAGGAACACAGCTGGTCCAGGGCTGTCCTCTCCTGGGGCCCATGTGGGTCCAGGGAGGTGACTCAGCCGGGCTTAGGTGCTTCCTGCTCATAGGAGCCAAGATTACTCCCGAAGCCGCTCCAGACGATGTCCGGGTCCGCTCAGGGCGCACGCCGGCTTTCGAGGGCCCCTCCAGGAAGGCGCCTGGCTGCGCCACACTGGGCATGCGTGACCCTCTGGCCAGTCTCCCTGCTGTGTGCGGTGTCACTGTGGTTGACGTCTGCCTCGGTCTTGGTGCCCGTGGGAGAGGGCGAGAGGGGCAACCTCCTGTGGCCGCTCTTTGCGCCCCCCACCACTGCTTCCCAAGCCAACACTACCTATTAGGGTCTCTCTAAGTTTCAGGTACCCCCGTGCGTGCCTGAGTGGGTCTGTGCTGCGGTGACCGTGCATGGCGCTCATCTCGGAGTGAAGCAATGCGTGATGGTCACGTGGCTGTGGCCCTGAGGGTCCCGCGGGATTAGCTGCGCTTGCTTCCAGGCTCCTGGCTGTGTTCAGGCCAGAACCACAGGATCCTCAGCCGCGAGCCAGCAGCTGCCCAGGGCGAGTTTGTCTCTTGACAGCTGGGCAGCACGCCAGCGCTTGCCGCTTTCACCGCACCGTGTGCAGGTGAGAGCAGGTCACCTGGCCCGGCCCAGCCAGCAGCACGGGAAGCACACTCTGCACCAGAGGCTGTTCTCAGCCCTTTGCGTTTCCATACGTATGTCAAGATCAGCCTGTCCACCTCAAGAGAAAGAGAAAACGAAAGAGACAGACAGAGAGAAGGGAGGGAGGGAGGGAGGGAGGGAGGGAGGGGAGAAGGGAAGGGAGGAAAAACTGCCAGGATTTTGATTGGGATCACCTTGAATCTGCAGAGGGGAGAACTGACATCTCTTTATATTGTCTTTCAAATCAAAATCATGATCTACTCTACTTAATTAGGGTGTCTTTGATTTTCTCTGGATTGTGTCTTGTGGCTTTTCAGGGTAGAGGTCTGGCACATCTTTCATTAGATTTTTTTTCTGGCTATCTGGTGGTTTTTAACGCCACAGTAAATAATATCTCTTTTGACACAGTGTTCTTAAGGCGCAACTTACAAATGCTAAGGACGGGTCTCCAGCAGACACGGTGCGATGTGTTTGCCTTCATGACCACCACCCGGATGGAGAGAGGGGACATTTCTCTACAGAAAGTTCCCCGTGCCCCTTCGCACCCTGTCCTCCGGCCATGCGATGACCACTCTCTGACTTCAATCAGCCCAGGCTGCCGGGCCACATGTGGACCCACACGGCACATGCTCGCCTGTGTCCGGCCTCTTTGGCCTTGGGCAGCCACGATGAGGGCACCTGCGTGCACGTTTTCCTCGCCGAGCAGCGTCCGGGCTTGAGTGTGCCGATGGGAGGGTGGGTTGCTTCCCGCTGGGGACCGTCACAAATGGAGGTGCCCCATCACTCCAGAGCAAGCCTCCACGCGGACCTGTGCATCGTTTCTCCCGGGTTTGTACCTGGGAGTGGATTGCGGGTCGCGGGGGACGCTTAGATTTTGCTTTAGAAGAAAGTGCCAGCGGCCTTCTACGGTGTTTGCAGTGTCTCCACCCCGGCAGATCATGGGAGTCCTGACTGAGCCACATCCCCGCCACCGCTCGGCATCGTAAACTCCGTATTTTTAGCCGTCCTGGTAGGTGCGTTCTACTTTGCGTTTCCCTGGTGACTAGTCTTGCTTCATGCTTACTGGCCGTTCAGATGCCTTTCGCTGTGAAGTGGCTGTTGAAATCTTTTACCCATTTTAAAATTAGGTCGTTTGTCCTTTTGTTATTTATTTGTAGTGGTTTTTAGATAATCTGTATATTTGTTTCTCAGATATGTGTACGGGTAACATTTTCTCCCCGTCTGTGGTTTACCTTTTCACTTTCTTAGTGATGCCTTTTGAAGAGTGGAAATATTTTACAAAGGGCAATTGATCAGTTTTCCTTTTGTGGCTAGCGCTTTTGGCATCCCGCCTAAAATAACTTTGCTTCCCCAAGAGTCATGAAGATGTTCCCGTATATTTCCTCCTAGAAGCTTTACGGTTTTGACGTTCACGTGTGGTCTCTGATCCACCCTGAGTTAGGTTTTGCGCGTGGTGTCAAGTCTGTTTGCTTTCATCTGGACGTCCAGCTGACCGCCCCCCACCATTATCGAAAATACTCGCCTTCTCCCGTTGACTTGCTTTGGCATCTTTGTCAAAATAGACTCTCCAGAATGAATTCTGGTTCTCTGTTCTGTTCCATCGATCGTTTGCTTATCCTTATACCAATACCACAATTGAGTCTTAATTAGTGCAGTTTTGAAATAAGTTTTGAAAAGCAATAGGTAAGTTCTCCAACACTGTTTCCTGCCCAGGATCTCCTGGACTGTTCTGTCTTTTGAATTTCCATTTAAATTTTATTTATTTTATTTTATTTTATTGTTCTGGCCACGCCACGTGGCATGTGGAATCTTAGTTCCCTGACCAGGGATCGAACCCATGCCCCCTGCCCTGGAAGCACGGATTCTTAACCACTGGACCGCCAAGGAAGTCCTCCATTTAAATTTTAGAATCAGCCTGTGGATTTCTAGAGATAGCCTGGCGGGATTTTGATGGGGATCGGGTCAAAGCTATCCATCATTTCAGGGAGAATTGACGCCCTTACCACACTGAGACTCCCAGTCTACGTGCGTGATGTATCTCGACATTTATTTAGGTATTCTTTAGTTTTTCTAAGCAATACTTTTAGCATGGGTTTTTTCATCAAATGGATTGCTATGTATTTGATGTATTTTTGGTACTTTTATACATATATATATATATATTTTTTGTTTGTTTGTTTGTTTTGTTTTGTTTTGCGGTACGCAGGCCTCTCACTCTTGTGGCCTCTCCCGTGGTGGAGCACAGGCTCCGGACACGCAGGCTCCGTGGCCATGGCTCACGGGCCCAGCCGCTCCACGGCACGTGGGATCTTCCCAGACGGGGGCACGGACCTGTGTCCCCTGCATCGGCAGGCGGACTCTCAACCACTGTGCCACCAGGGAAGCCCCGAGTTTGACTTATTTTTTTAAGATTCCAAATATGAGTGATATAAATGGTGTTTTAAATTTTATTTTCCAATTATTTGTGCTAATGTGTAGAATATCCCCATGGCTTTTGCACGCTGACCCTGTAGCCCACAGCGCTGGTGAATTGACCTCCGGGTCCCACTAGTTTGTAGATGCCTTGGATTTTCTATGCAATCCCATCACCTCGAATGACGTCCATCCTCCTTTCTTTCTGGTCTCTCTGCCTTGCCCCTGTTCCTGCCTCACTGCACTAGCCAGAATCTCAGTAGGGAGGGGGGCAGGAGTCAGCTGTAAGGTTTTCACAAATACACGCTCTCACATCGAGGACATTCCGGCTATTCCTTGCTTGCTGAGAGGTGTTTTCTTTTCTCTGTTTATCATGAATGACATAGAATTTCTCCACTGTTTCCCCTGAATCGACTGAGATGGTCGTATTATTCTGTTCATGTGAGTGGCATCAATTGATGCAGGAATGGGAAGTGGACCTTGTCTTCCTTTATTATCTTTCTAACGTCTGCAGAATGAGAGATGACGTCTCGCTTTTATTCCTAATATTGTCCCCTTCCCCCACTCAGCCCCCGCCGCCCTCAGTCTCACCACCTTCTGTCACTTTATCCAGCTTCTCAGAGAACCAGGCTTAGGCTTTGTTGAACTTCCTATTTGCTGACTTTTGCTCTTACATTTGTTATTTGGGTTTGTTCTTTTTCTAACTTCTTGAGCTAGATGGTTGGTTCTTAACTTTCAGCATTTCTTCTTTTCAATACGTACATTTAAGGATGACAATTTCCCTTTATTTTCTACTTTAACTGCATCTGAAAATGTTTGAAATGCAGTATTTTGGGTATTATTCAGATCAGTATTTTCTACTTTTCATTACAATTATGTCTTTGATCTCTAAGTTATTTAGAAATTGGTCTCCTATAAATACATTTGCATCAGAGTCTGTAATTAGCTTGGATTTTCTTGTTAGCAGAATCATATTTGATTGGAGCGATGTCACTTCAACACCCAGACACTTGCTGTGAGTTGCTTTATGTTATCAGTGCTCATGGTGCCTGAAAACAGTGTGTGTTCCACGATTACTGGGTGCCAGAAGTGGGTTTGAGCTTGTTTATTGTGTCTTTCAGATCTTTTATATCTTTCTGGTATTTCTTGCCTGTGTGTCCCATCAATTACCAAGCCAAGTAGGGTAACAAGCTTTGGGATGCATCACCTTCTTATAATCCTGACAATTTTTACTTTATATTTCTTCAGCCTCTGTTTTATTTTGGTTAGAATTTGCCTAGTATTATCTTTTCCTTTCAGTCATTCTCTAATCTTACGTTTTAGATATTTCTCTGCGTAAAATGTGGTTTTTTTTTTTTCTTCTTTAAAGTGAAAGCGGGTTTATTCAGGGAGATGCACACTGCATAGACAGAGTGTGGTCCGTCTCAGAAGGCGAGAGCGGCCAAAATTTAAATTCAGATTGACCACGCTCTTTTAAACAGCGCATTTAACATTTGCATTTTGTGTGATCGTATATACACACAGATGCATGGATTCTGCACAACAAGTTACTCCAGACAACAAATACGTGTTATACCACATACTTCTGAGGGTCAGGGACCCAAGAGGGCCTTAACCTTGAGGTACTGGCTCAAGGTCTCACGAGCTGCAGGCAAGACGTTGACAGAGGCTTGGCTGGGGCAGGGACCCACTCGTGTGGCGACTCACCCACATGGTGAGGGGTGGAGGCCTCACCTCCTCCCCATGTGGACCCGCCAGGGGGCTGCCTGAGCGACCTCACCGCGGGCGGAGCGTCCTCAGAACAAGGGGTTCCGGACCCACCCCTGGAGACACGCTTCTGTGGCCCGGCCTGAGAAGTCAGGCTCCGTCACCTCTGCCGTGTTCTGCTGGCCACGCAGCCCGTCCTGATACGACGCGGGACGCGGGAGGGGCCCGCCTGCGGGGCGCCTTTTGCAGCCTTACGGCCGCAGCGCCCCTCACTCTGTCTGTTCTCCTTTGTCTCGCGTCCCGCCTTCTCTTTGTTCTGACCTTATTGTCAGTAACTGTTGTGTCATTTCGGTTTTCCCTCTTCTCGCTTGGAGGTTACACACTCTGTCCCTGGGCTTTTAGTGGCTGCCTAGAAATTGCTCGTTGCTTACTGAGCTTATCAACGTCCACAGTGCGAGAAAATCATACTTTTGCCCGCACCCAGACAATACAGTGACCTTCAGTCTTGGAGACACGAGACATGAGCATCGTGTGTTCAGACCACACACCTCGCTCTCCAGCCCGCAGCCTCCCCGTGTCTCAGGCTTCCAATACGGGAGCTCCTTATTTTCTCTTCTGCACACTTATCTTGAAAGCGACGGGCTCTCTGCCGTGGGAGTCCAGCCATTTTCTCGCAGCATCTTTCTGCTGTCTTGGCTTTCACTGCTGTGCTCAGAGATACTCAGCCAAGTCCACGGCTTCCCAAAAGTGAGCTGTCTTAACTGCCTGCACCATTTACTACTGTTTTAGTAAGACAGGTCTGGGTGTGGGATTTTATTTTTATTTATTCAAAATGGGAATCTTTGGACATCTTTTTTCTTTTTTCTTTCTTTTTTTTTTTTGCGGTACGCGGGCCTCTCACTGTTGTGGCCTCTCCGGACCGGGGCACGAACCTGCGCCCCCTGCATCGGCAGGCGGACTCTCAACCACTGCGCCACCAGGGAAGCCCTGGACATCTTTACTCTCAACTCGTGTCATTAATCATTTATGAGAAACTTCCAGCCTCTCACTTTATGTATTGCCTCCACCCCATCCTCTCTGTCCTTGCCTTTGGAGCTCAGGTGTGACGTTGCTCACACCTTCGCTGCCCCTCAGCCTGTATCACTCCCGTTCAACGTCTGGTTTCCTGTGCTGCCATCTGCACAGTCTCCTCATTTGTCTTCCAGTTCATTCTGTCCTTAACAGTGTCTAGAGCCCTATGAATCCCATCCATTGAAACTTTAACTTTAGATATTATAGATTCATTTTTTAGAAACTCTACCTTTCAGTAAAGTTGGTTATTCTTTATAGTTCCTTCCCTTTGCCTAAAACCACTAAATTGTATGACATTACACAGCTTATATTCTGTGTCTGATAATTCTAACAGCTGAAGTCTTTGGTCATGTCTGTGCTGCTGTTTTGGCCGGCACTCTCACATTTTATTAGAGACGGATCATTTTCTTTCAAACATTAGTTGTGGGGATTCTTTGCACTCCTTCCACAATGCAGGTGAGCCCCTCGGAGGGTGGTGTTTGCCCCAGGCCCCTCATCTCCCGCCTCCCGAGGAAAGCTGCCCACATCGCTCTAAATTCATAGGTTGATACTTTGTGCCCTCCCCACCCTGCCTGCAGCCCAGGGATAAGAAGTCATCATCACTCAGACCTGTTGGGGACTAGCTCGGGATTCTAATTTCTCTGGGATTTCCACCCACATTGCTCAGCACCAAGAACACGCCTCGCACTCCCTGGGGCAGGGAAGGTGTGTTTTGGGTTCACCCGTGCACCCGGGATGTAACCTTTTGGGCTTGCTGCTTCTTTGAGGGGTGGGGTGTCTCTCACCCCTTTGGGGGTGGTCTTCTGCCCCCGCACCCCTAAAGCCTTGGCAACTCGAGCCTCGAGGGATGCTGGTCTGCAAAGCTTCTGAAGGAAGGGCTTCCTCGCAGCCTCGACCTGATCATTCCTTGCTTTTTGCCAGCTTTTTGTTGCTTCTGAGATGTTTTTCATGTTTTATGCTCAGGTTTGGTGTTTTTTCCCCAGAAGGGCTGGTCTGGATCCCAGAGCACCAATTCCTGAGTGGACACCCCGTCCGCTTTGGTGATGTCCCCCGTCCCCGGTGCACCTTAGGCCTCACCCCCTCCTCCTTCACCCCCAGGATGCACGATGCATGGCTCTCCTGCTTCTCAGCCCCTCACGCCAACCCCTAAATGGATGGCTCAGCCCTTTCTGCCTGCCTCATGCCGCCCCTCTGCCGCAGGGGCCTGGCCCTTCCTCAGCTTGGAGCGGGCCCAGGGCTCTGTCCCCGTCCAGCCCTACGCTAGGCCTGTTTAGGCCTGGGGTGCATTGGTGGGCAAAGCACTGCCGGCAGAGCTGCCCCCTTGGCGGCAGTGCCTGCTCACCCCTGAAGATTTGGCCTCCCCACCCTGTGCTCAGGCCTCCGGTCTCCCACACCCTCATATGCCACGCAGGCTCTCGTGTGTCCTGCGGGTCAGGCTGGCCCCAGGCCCTGGGGAAGGCCCCACTCCTGGGCTCTGGCTCAGCCTCCACTCAAGGGTCCTGGGCTGCTTTGCATAGGTGCCGGGTGGCCCCCACTCCTGCCCACCCCACCCAGACCCTCCCGGACCCCGGCAAGAGTGACTCAGCCCAGGGCACTGGCAGCGGGTGGCTCTGGCAGGCGTGGTGTCTCAGCCCGTGGCATTCCT